TTTGTCTATGGATATTCTCAGTCATCCAGGTCATAGTTGTCCCAAAGGTGCTTTCTCAAAAGATAACTGGGCTTTGTTTTTCCTTGAAGACGTTTCGCTCTTCATCCAAGAAGCTTCTTCAGTTCTGAACTGAAGAAGCCTCTTGAATGAAGAGCGAAACGTCTTCAAGGAAAAACAAAGCCCAGTTATCTTTTGAGAAAGCACCACTAGGACTTCCTCCTCTTTCCTTACCTAAAGTATTAAACTTGCACAGCTCCTCTAGGCAGCTTCCAAAAGGATTGTGGGGAATGTAGCTTATGTTGAGTGACCAATAAGCACAAAGTACTGGAGAGGTACCATCCCAGATTCTTGAAAGAGAGGACTAGCCTGTCTTTCTTTTTCCTCTTTGAAGTTATGGAGGCCCCTTTAAAGTAAATTCAGATTGTGTTCAGAAATCCAGATTAGTTTAGTTGAACTGGTACTGCAATGGTGCTGAAAACAGATCTCTGTAAGTGAGTTTTTTGTGTGCTGGGGCAATGGTTTATGAAATTTTAGTAGTTGCAGCCCTTAATAAACCAAGGGTATGGAAGCCAGTGCCCCCACTATAATCCTGATTGAATGTTGTCTGAATGCAATTGCATGCATTTGGCAACTGAATGCAGTTTGCCAAACATAACTGTTGTGCATGTTTGTTAATATGCATGTCTATAGTGATAAAGATACAGACACACATAGGATATAAAATGGGGGGGGGGGGCGGGAACGATGACGATTATTGTTGCCTTTGTTGTTTTCTTGAGAGACTCTTTCATAATATTTTTCTTTATAGATGGGTGTTTCTTCCTCTTTTTTTCTTGTGTAGACATTGAATGTCCTCAGTCTTCAACGTTGTCAAAGATATGGTATAATCATAAAACCTTTGGCCACCTTAGAAAATCTTTATGTGCAACCAACTACATATTTGCGTTCTGGTTCCCAGGTTTCTATCCCCAAACAGCTTCTTCAGGGCTGAAACTTAGATGTCCTAAGGGGGACATTTGTCTCTCTTTGTCTGGCTCTAACCACTGCAACTCAAAGCCAGTAGAAGCAGGAATGCAGTAGAAGTAAACTTTGGGGAGAGCTGTGTGCATGTAAAGAAGGGAGAAGGTCTCCAGGTGGAATTGGGTTGGTGTCAGGGCCAAATCGTTTGTATATGTGTGAGTGCATGTGAGAGAGGGGAGGGAGAGAGAGGAGGAGGAAGATGAGGAGGGGGCTAGGCAGAGAAAGAAGCTGGTGGGGGGGAGAAGGGGGGAGATGCTGCTGTTACCAGTGCCAGTGCTTCATCTGGAGTATGGCGCCTCTTGAACACATTACTATTAATTTACTATTAGCCCTGACCATAACCTTTTGAATGTAAAGGGTGGCTTTTAAACATTTGGGCAACCCAATCCAATATGTTTTCTCGGAACTCCGTCTTACTAATTTCCACAAGTCTTCATGCTTATTATAGAAGCCTGCTGAAATTTGCAACCTTCTGCTGGAATACAATGAGCCAGAAACCCCTAAAATGGAGGGGGCTTTTCCCATATTCTTTCTAAGAGAATACTTGTAATAGAAGACCTGTGACTAGGTATACCTCAAACTACGTAATGGCATTCAGGTTTAAGAGTACTGCCAATGGCAGGAGGATATTGGAATTAAGCGATGTATGTATTTCTAAGGACAATTACATTAATTTCCCTTTTGTGACTCTTTCCAAGGAAGCTATTCAGACCGGAAGCAAACAGCCAAGCCTGAAAGTGAGGAGCAGAATGGATAAATAATTGTACAGGGCTATTTTTGGTGCCTGGAGATATATTAGACTACAGACTCCCATTTCTCCAGCGAAAGGGTGATACGTGTCCATGCATCAGTGAACTAGGTAAGGGTAAAAAGTCTGGTTAGAAGAACCATCAAGAATGGAAACACGTCTGTCATAGAACCTGGTCCTTTAAGAAATAACTCTGAGAGGCTTAAGTCAGAAAAGGACCATTTGGCACACCTCTAGAAAACAGGATCTAGTCCCTTAAAGCTCCATGTCCTAATCTTCATGTAACAGATCTAAATGTTCTTCTGAGCACAAGCTTCTGCCTCAGCCTGTTGGAAACCTATTTAAGTGTCATTTGATTTTTATATTGTCCTATGGCAAGAGAGAGTCATGAGGAAGGAGATAATATCCACCAGGGGCTGTTCCCCTCCATCAGAGACACAACAGCAGCTTGTGTTGTTTTCACACAAAAGTAGAAAAAGAGGATGGGGGAAGAGGAATAATATCCTTTGTTGATTAACTCCCATATGCTCGTGTGTGTAGAAGAGCTGTTGACTATTGGAGGGCTTGTGGGAAGGCAACGGAGGAGGAGTGGGAGGTGATGACTTTTAATATTTTCCACTGCAGACTATTGTGAGCACCCCATCTCCTACAGAGAGTGGGAAGCAATTTGGTTCTCTCCTTTTTTTGGCAAGCTCCAATCAAAGTTATTCACTTCTCTTCGTGGTAAGATAGCACTTTTCAAATATCTCATAGATGCCCTATTTTGCAACCCATTGTCTCAACTTTCACTGGGCAATTTGCTCTTCGGAAATAGAGGATACCTTCTGCACTACTGTTGAGATAGCTGTTTCCATTCATTGACACTCAGCCAATGCAATGTATGAAAAAAAAACACAAAACAAAATTGTAAAGCACTGGATGTAGGCCTTCCATCACACATGGCCTTTTAAAATGCTAATCCTGTGCTAGCTAACTGGGTAGGCCTTAGGAAAGAAGGCTTTTGGTTGAGAAGGCCCTATGCTACTTTCTTTTCTGAATTTTCAACACAGATATAAGAAAAACAAGGTGAGATCAACATGAGCCGATTGTCATTTAATTTCCAACTAAGATGATAGGACTCCCTGGATCTACTCCTATTCTCTTTGTCTAGTTTAGGTGAATTATCCAAATTGTCATCCCAACAACTGTTAAGACCTGTATAGGTATAGGGCTCATACACAACCATTATATGTATAGACGCTTTTCTCCCTCGACTTGAATTGCTAAATTTAGGGGAAATTCTGGGAAAGGCACTGATCCATAATAGGAGGAGGAGGATTGGGACAGCATGGAGGGAAATCCTAAAGAGAGAAGAAAGGTGCTGTCTTAAAATTTACCTAGGAGCAAATTAGGCCTTTCTAGAGTTGCCCTGAACCTTGATTTATGACAAGCTTCCTAGGTAACTTGGATTAGTGCATAAAATAATAGCAAAAGAAAAAGGGAGTAAGCATCTCGCATAGCACATTTGGTTCCTGGAGAAAGTCTTGTTGCTATGCTGGCAAATTGTTTGCCAGAGTCCACTTAGGTTGCAAAGGAGGTCTCTTGTTTGAAGTGTGCAAAGGCCAGATCTTCTTTCCTAGCCCATTCACCATCAATTAAAGTTCCTGGGAACCAGGGTGGCCAGGGAGCGGCCTTCAGCCATGATATCCATGGGAAAGCTCTGTCCGGCTTAACTGGCTCAGGCAAGCTAACACAAGGACATGTGTTTGAGGCCAAAGAGAGAAGCAAGTAGAAGAAAGCTGACTTAAGCAACACAAACAAAGGGACATTGCAATGCTCTGGCACACAACTTCCAGAGATATGGTGGTTTTAAAAAAAATCTCCTCCTTTCCTGACTACACAAAGATGTGGTATTTTCGGCCTACCTCCAGCCTTTCTGAGGTGTTTCCACCTGACAATCTCTCTGGGAAGAACAGGACTGCCCTGTATGAACCCAACTGCAAGGCTCATGCACTATACCTTCTTTCTTTCTTTCTTTCTTTCTTTCTTTCTTTCTTTCTTTCTTTCTTTCTTTCTTCTTTTTCTTTCTCTTTCTTTCTCTTTCTTTCTTTCTTTCTTTCTTTCTTTCTCTTTCTTTCTCTTTCTTTTTCTTTCTTTCTTTCTTTCTTTCTCTTTCTTTCTTTCTTTCTTTCTTTCTTTCTTTCTTTCTCCTCCTCCTCCTCCTCCTCCTCCTCCTCCTCCTCCTCCTCCTCCTCCTCCTCCTCCTCCTCCTCTTTCTTCCTCTTCTTCCTCCCCCTCCTCCATCATCCAAACCAGGACTCAAAACTTCTTAACTGAGTTTCTCTTTGGAAGAAACCTTTCTGACTCCCATTCCCCTCCATCCTCAACAACCAAAGTGGCAAAGGAAGCAACTGAGAAAGAAGGAGAAGGGAATAACCTCTGCTGAATCCCTGGAACACGCTTTAACTTAATTTCCAGTTAGACCCAATGAAGTAAATGGAGCGGGAGGCGGAGGTTGGGTGGGGGGGGGGGAAGGTAGGACAGAGACCAAAAGTCTAGATCCCCACAGTCGGACAGCCTGTCAAAGCCTTCTCCTCGTGGGGGAAACAGAGCTAGAGGAAAAATCAGAGCTTCCAGCTTCCCACCACTTCGGGAGAAAAGGTGCAGCGGGTGGAAATCTTTCCATTCCCAGGGAAAACAGCTCCTACCCTACCACCCTCACCACAGCTCGACGCCCCATGTGAGAAAGCAGGGAGGATTTTGGAGGGGAAGCAGAGGCGCAAGAAAGGGAGAGAGAGAGAGAGAAAACAGCGCACTTACGGATCTCGCCAGGGATCCATTTGGGAAGATGTACCTTCCCAAACCGCAGCCCGAGACGTCGTAATCGCACTAACTGCCTTGGTCCCTCTGTCCCAGCGTTAAACAGCTCTAGCAGCTGCGATGGGAGACAGTTAAGATTATATATGATGTAAATATATTGTGGGTATGTCAGCTCCCCCAAACCATAAAACTTAGTTTAATGACATCACGTGCTCCGCGAGAGCCACTCAGGGCTTTCGCTTTGGGCAATCCACATAAATAACCTTCAAAAGTTTTAAACTGCTAAATTCAGTCAGAAGCCATTGGTATTTCTGCTAATGTTCTCAGGGAAAGTAAAAGCTTTGGCTGAAAAAAAGAAGGCCGGATTATTATTGTCCTTGTTATTCTCGCCTCTTCCCACCCACCCACCCCCAAAAGCTCACCCGCACACAGGCACAGATTTGGAACTTGGTGTCTGTCATTCTCCGCACCTCCCCCCCTCCTTTTCTTGTTTGGAGGCTTTTTAAAAGTTCCCACTGTGTTGACATGGATGACTATGAAAGGTAAGCGATGTTTCATTTCCTTCTCGGCTTTTCAAGAATTCTTTAGGAAAAAAGGGGCTGAGTGAAAAGCGGGCAGAAATTGAGAGTTAGTGGAGGGGGGGGAGGAGGAGGTCTTGCGCAGCAAAAGTCAACGACAAGCCCAACCACCAAATATTAATCAGTCCTGAAAAATTACTTTTTAAAAAGACAGGAAAGTGGCCAAAATAGACCCACGTTGCTGGCTGGATAAACGAATAATTAATCATAAGGCAGTGTATCTCCCGGCTGGTTCGCCTTACGGTAATGGAAAAGTTGGAGCTGGTGCTGTGGGGCTTGCAAATTCTCTCTCTCTCTCCTCCCCCCACCCCCCCCCCCAGTCTCCTTACGATAAAACAAAAGTACATCTGATTTTGTTAACCCTAACTTGTCAAGTTCAGTTATTCCTTGGCACATTTCCGACCAAATGAAAAGGAAGTCCCTTGGTTTGTGGAGCTGAGGGGAGGGAAGTCAAGACAAGCCAGAATAAATGAGACAGATGTAAAACAGCAAACCTTGGCTTAAGGTTAGAGAACAGTTATCCAAACATGTCTACATTTCTCCAATGCCTTAGTAAACACCTCTTAAGATTTACATAGCAGAGTTTATGTTTTTCAAACATCTACACTCTCTCTCCTTCCCCTCCCCCCTTGTAGGCATGTTGTTGTTGTTATTGTTGTTTTTTTTAAAAAAACTGCTCCTGTTTGGAAATTTTATACCATTTACAAGGCCATCTAGCATCACAAAGGAAAGAAATGGGGAAGAGGGGGAACCAAAAACTTTTGATCTACCGGTATGTTGGCAAAATTTGACTGTTAGTGGACAGAAAACCCAAATGAAATCAAGCTACCAATAGTGTAAAAGCTAGAAAGGAGGAAAGAGGGGAAAAAAGGTTTTCAGGTAGACAGGAAAATTGCAAATAAAACAATTGCCATTGCCTTAGTCACCTTATTATTATTTTATCTTGTCAATAATAAAAAGACAATGCTAAAAATACCAATGAACTCAGAGGAAGAGAACAGACATTTTGAGGTCAGAGACAGAAATCTATGGGTTTTAGGAGTATCTTCAAAAGCTCCCACCATCCTGGAAAGTAACTTTTGCTTCAGGGGTTCAGGAAATTGCTCCCTTGTTTGAAATGGTGTCGGAGGAAAACAGTACAAAGGTTTACTGTGCTACTGAGATCATTCCCACGAATTCCCAAGCATGCATTTCTACTGTAAATAGCCCCAAAGACATGCCAGGCATGAGCAAGCTAGTTTGGGTGGGCTTGTGTGTGGTTTGAGAGAGAATTGGACAATTGCATTCCCCAGACTCACATTGATACATGCAATTCAATAAAACACATATATGGATCTACGTAGATACGCATGAAACATCTATGCATCGAGTTCTGCCAACCACACTTCCGGAGGCCTGCATCTATCCCAGTCAAATCAAATTTCCACCTAACTGGGTCCAGTAATACCACCAATAGGCAAACCAAATAAACAAATCAAAAAATATAGATGCATGTGAACATATAATATATATGCAAGAATATGCAAGTTTTGTATTGCATATTCTGGATACCTTTTGTCTTAAACCCAACACATAGAAATGTCCTCTTTGTTCTTTACCTTTTAGCCCATGTTCCTTGAGAGTAAAGTAAAAACCTGTCATTCTTATTTCGACTCCTTTTAATAATCACACACACTCAGAAAGTTCAGATATTGTCACCAATAGCCCAGTTTCTTACTGCACAGGTTTCACCCTAACTCCATGGGAAGTTAACTGTGGGGCAGGAGGGAAAGAGGGAACTTTCCTTCCAGCTGAGTTGGAAGTATTATGGTCAAATTCTTTAGAAATGTGATCTTGTTTGGACTGTTGTTATAAGGTGCAATGGAAAAGAAAACTCTTGAGAAACAATCCAGACAAGTTTTGAAGACACCAAACTAGGCTGTGTAAATAGGAAAAGTTAAAACTAAAAAAAAAAACACTTTCCCTTCAATGAGGAAAGGGAGGGAATAGATCATCTGCATTTGACTTTATCTTACCTCAAATTATTCTGCTGCAATAATAATAATAATAATAATAATAATAATAATAATAATAAGCATTTTTTAATCTTCAGTTGACTGAGTTTCATGTTTAGTGAATAAAGTAAATAATAATAATAATACTTGCAGGGGCTAGAAATAGATAAGAACCCATTTTGAAGTAATATTAATTGGATCTTTAAACTGATTTCTATTACATTTCCATTTTTTCTCATTGGACAGAGGTTTAAAGTTCCACTGATCTGAGCAGGCCTTTAAATCTAAAACTCAGGGACCCAATTAACTGAAAATGGAGTGTCCTGAATTATCCTAGATTTCAATGAAAGCAATTGAAACTCAACCCTTTCACAGAAAATAGTTTGGTGTGCTAAAATGAACGCACCCTGCCTCACATTTGATGTACTTTATTGCCATAACAAAAATACTTTAAAAAAAAAATCAAATCAAATGAAGGAACTAAAAAGATATTAGACCTGGTGTTGGGCAGTGCTCAAGAAAAAAAATGTTCCTTCATCCCCACCCACTCCAAACTTGGCCTTTAATCGTTGGAAGCATTCTTTACAGTTTATTTTGGTGAATATACGTATCTATGAATATTCATCTGTTCATTCATTCCCTTCATTCATTCCACGGGCTTTCACATATGATATTACAATCAATAAATATACTGTAGGTATTACAACAACAGGGAGAAGGAAGGGGGAAGAGACTAAAATTTAAATGGACTATATGTAAACAAAGTGTAATTTGAATAAGGATTGTATATATATGTACATACTACATTAATTACACAACAAATAAATACACTGGAATATTTAAGCCAAGTGAATTCACACTCTTTTCCCACCAACCCCCTCATTCCATTCCTCCACAGTGCTTTACTATTTTGCACAAGTATCTCCCAGGAGAGATGCGGAAATAGTGTTGCTCTTAGTCCGTTTCATTTTCTTTCATAGGCCAATAATACAAAAATAAGTAAATGGGGAGGGAATAAGATAATTACAGAAAACATTCCCAGCACTGAACAAACATATCCTGGAGCAAACAGATTTCCCAGGATTTTGTTGTTGTTTTTTTCCCCTTCCCTCCGGTTAAGAGCATCTAGGAAACGACTTCACCAGGCAATTTTTTTTTTTATTCCACGCGCGCGAGACGTCAATATTGTCTCGAGACCACTAGCTCGCGCTTGCCCGATCCTAGGAGGCAAGTTTACTCGGGAGGCGGCGCCCCTCGGGCCGGCCGGCGGTAGGATTGGAGCCGCGAAGAAGTGCTCTCGTATCGCGTGGTCGCTTCGGGGGCGCAAAATCCGACTTGGACGCAAAGTATTAGTAGGCATTTTCAACAGACCTGAACTTTCCAAGACTTGCAAATGGATAGAAGCCGAGGGCCGTAGTAGGACTTTCGGGAAATTGGAGAAGGGGGGAAAAAAAAAAAGAGAGAGAGAGAAAGTAGCGACGGTCGCACTCACCCCTCTTAATGCATAACTCGAGCTTCCCTTTTATTTTATTTTTATTTTTTTTTCCTAAAGGGTGTCCTTGCTTAGGTTTAGCTCTAGGGGAAAGTCGCCCCTAGTAGACTCGGAGGGCGAACTTCGAGAGGGAGCAAGGCATTTCCTTCCCAGATCAGCGGGACCCAAGTTAGAGAGCAAGGAGGCCCGGTGGCAACTCCAGAAGGTTTTTTTCACCCTGAATTCTTGTTGGAAGCTAAAGACCCCGGTCTGTTTGCATACTAATCAGAGGACGCCTTTGTCTGCCAGATTTGCAAGGGTATGTAGTCTGTCCCAGGCTGCTACCCTCCCTCCGCCCTTCCTTTTTTCCCACCTCCCAAAGAAAAAAAAGTTTTCTCAAGGTACAACGAGACGTGCTCTCATCCAGACGTGCTGACTATCCCTCCCCACCCCGCCCCGACCTTCTACCTAGACAGACTCCTTGCTTTTCAGTTTGGAATCTTTCTTCCATTTCATCCTCCGATTTTGAAACCAGATTTTGATCTGCCTCTCATTCAAACACAGGTTGTTGGCGATCTCTATGCGCCTCCGACGGGTGAGATAGCGGTTAAAGTGGAATTCTTTTTCTAGCTCCAGAGTCTGATAGCGAGTGTAGCTGGTCCTAGAACGTTTGCCATCTGCTTCTGGAAAAGAACAAGACACCGGATAAGGACGAGGGGGAGGGAAAGAATCACGTTATAAAGCAGGGCAGCAATGCCAAGGAAGGGAGAGACCAAATGTGCTAAAGAAAGCAAGAGGAAGGAGGACGGGGGGGGGGGTTGAATGGGTGGGAAGGAGGTTTGGTTGACTCTCCCCCCCCCACATAACATTTATTATATTTCTGGTAAATCGAGGGTCCCGATTGTCTATACTTTTATCAAAGCTTTGGATTCCGTCTCAAGCAAGTCAGGCGGCGGGGGGGGGGGGGGGAGGCGGCGCTCACCATTTAAAACCCGAGAAAGTGGAGCTAAAGTGTGGGAATTAAATTCAGGCATGTTCTTTCCTTCGAAAGAAGAGAAAGTCGTGGCTTATGGGACGTGCAAAAGGTTCTTGAGGGGGGGGATGGGGAAAGACCCACTCTAAATAACCATAAGCTCATTTTCTTCCCCAGAAAGAGTGCGCTCGAAATTCAAGTTATTTCTTCCCCTTAAAATCTTTCTTCCTCCTTACTTCCTTTTCGACCCCCCCCCCCCAATGGAATATTGCCTTTATACCCGTTTTGTTTCTATGATCCAATTATGCCGTCATAAATTTGGGCGTATATAGCCTCTAAGCCTTTTAGTGGACAGTTTTACGAGCAATTGATGCCTTAGTCGTAAAATTTACGACCCCGGTTTTTTTTCCCCCTTGTTATTTGCCCCGTATGGCCTATAAAACCAAGGCAAACCCTGTGAAACAAAATCGAGAAGCGAAAGTTTACCGTGGCTCATGTGTAGTTTGGTCATCCACGGATAGATTTGTGGTGGCTGCTGCGGCGACTGCTGAACAGGCTGGCCGCTGGGCTGGGCTGCTTGCACCGGTTCACTCTTGATTTCCCCACTGGTTTTAGATCTATCTTCCAACGGCGTGGGGTTGTTGGTGCCACCAGCCTTCTGACTGTAAATTCCTGGGTTTAGAGAAGCTTGGTCATCTCTGCCTAAAGTGTGCCCTGAAGATCCCATGACAGTACAGGAAGGCCGGTCAGGGTTAGATCTGGGGGTTGAAGACACGTCCACACCGTTCAGAGAGTTGGAAGCCCCAGATGAAGGGAATGTAATGCTCAGATCCAGCCCAGTGTAGCAGCACCTGGAGGGCTGAACCTCAGGCAGTGATCCATAATTCCCATAACTTTGCATGGAATACGCAGGAACATTTTGATTTTGCTTATAGAAGGAATTGGCTACGTAGGAACTCATGTCAGGAATTATATTTCCCCCCCACCCAGCTTCTCTCTCTCTCTCTCTCTCTCTCTTTCCCTCTCTCCCTCGCTCTCGCTCTCTCTCTCTCTCTCTCTCTCTCTTACACCCCTTTGATTAGACTTGATTTGTGGCCCTTTTGAAGTTCAGGGTTTTTTGTTCTCCAAAGTGCAGAATTTATAGGTGGGGATTCTTCTTTTCTTTATTCTATGTGCGCTGCCCAAATATGGGATGTTTAAAGAGAATCACGTGACAGTGTTGGCCAGTCATAAATTTGGCTTGATGACCCCAGGAGGTTATTGATGGAAGCCCGTGCAACGTATGTGATATGTTGGCATAACGAAGCCCTGGGAAGAAGGGGAAGGGAAAGAAAAAAAAAAAAAGGCCCCACACTCAAAACACCGAGACAATGAGTCTAGAGCGTCACCTGGTGCTAAGTTCGGGGTATGACGACTGATTCGAATTCTACCCCTTGTTCGAACGTTTGAGGCTTTGGGGTGTGAAAACAACACAAATCCTCTAAAGCCTTCCAGGTGATCGAAGGCAAGCCAGAGTTTTCCACCCCGGCGAAGCCTGGGGAAAGTTTGCCTTTGAGTGGGGTGGACTTTATAAAACACGACCTTACGAGATTCCTACGCCTGTTTCCTTGGGTGTGCCAACCAGGCTTCTCTGGTGGGTGTCGGGCTGTGTGTGCCCGGCTGTGTGTGCCCACCAACAGAATATCCCGGTGTGCAGGATTGGGGCTGCTTGCCTGCTAGACTCTTTGCCTCAGTGCCTGGCACCTGAGCGCACAGGGCAGGGTCCGTGTTCTCCAGGATTCTGGGTGTATCCAAGAATCCCTAACATCAGATAAGTGGCAGGCAAGAAACATGCATCTTCCTGATGCTTCACCCCCCCCCCCAGTCCCACATATAGATCCGGGCATCCAACTATGGACACGGATGCCTCTCTCTCCAAAGTCTTAAGAACCTGCTCTTCTGCCCGGAGAGGGTGGGGTGGGGGGGTGCCAAACAGCAGCCCTCTTGGAACTGTTAAACCTATTGCGCTAAATTCGTCCCTCTTTTTCTTTTTTTTTTCTTTTTCTTTTTTTTAAAAAAATCTGCCTCTGAAGATTTCACTCAGAGTATCTTTCCGAGTGGAGAGGACTTTGTGCGGGTCTGCAGTCAAGCGTCCTTTGAGGTGGCTAAATCCTCCTGTTTGGGATGAACGGATGGATGGTTCGCTTTGGGGTTTTTTTTTTTTCCTCCTTCTTCCTTTCTTTGCAGGGAAACCGGCATAGGAGAATTGTGTGTGTGTGTGTGTGTCTTATAGGTAAAAGGATGTGCCATCCTTTCCCTCCTCACTAAACTGACACGCTTGCTAGCTAACTCGGCGGATGGCTTTGAGAGGAGTTCTCTTGAAAAATAAAGTCCGCTTTTCCTGGATACTCAGGGAAGATGTTGGGGTGCCCTTTCTCCTTTCCTAGACGTCGCCTTACAATTTATTTGGTTTGTTTAGGGTGGAGTTACAAAGAATTCATTTGCCCTCCTCCTGAAGTGGCTTCTGTGTTCTTCCCACCATGGGGGGGGGGGGGACATCCATTTTATCTTTTTTTTTTTTAATCGTCCTTATGGGCTCATCTTTCACTCCTGAATAAGTTAGCTTATTTAATTGTTTGTTTGTTTGTTGTTCGCATTAAGGAACAATCGGTAAAGAAACCCTGGAAAGTTTTGGCTCAGGTTTCCCGAAATGTTGTTGAGTCTATTCCTCGCCTCCCCAGGTCATGTGCGAGACTGGCTTTTTTTTTTTTTAAAGAAAAAAAAACCGAGCTATTCTCAGCTCTGGGAGTTTTTGAAGCTCCTTGTTATGATTTCGAGAAAGGGATGACTCCAGCCTCCCTTGGGTTCAGACAAACGGAGGTGGGCGAAATCAATTTAATGGTGGGGTGTCAGGAGTGGTTGTGGTCTTTCCTCCCCCCCCCTTTTCTTTTTTTAAACTGGGACCGGGTGATTGAATTGAACACGCAAAAGCGTAGCTAAGGCTATCCAGACATCCAGAGGCCAGAACTTCCCACATCCCAGACATTTGTATTTGGGACAAGGATGCCTCTGACCTAAACCCGAGTCACTGTGGGGCCCTCCGCCCCAAAGCAAGGGCTGTGTGGTGCATCAGAGATTTTATCCATTGCGCTTTCTGAACTTTTCTTCCCCTCTCCCCTCCTCAATAATTCCTGCCCACCTGTTCTCAACCTCGAAATACATTTAGAAAAGGAGCCAGCGAGATTCCTTTGTTCCTTGGCCTTTCTCTTTGATAAGGAAATCGGTGCTTTGGTGCTTAAACTGGCCTTGAGAAAACACACCTATTTTTAAAAAGTTGGACTTGTGGGCCTAGGAATTTGCCGATTTGGAATCAAAGTTTCTTATGCCTACCTGTGTCTGTGCTCGAACATATCTATGGTTATGCAAGAGGGAAGAGAGAGAGAGAGGTGCTAAAGTCATCCTCAGCCTACTTAATAGGAAATAAATTATTTCCGCCTATCATCTGCCTTGCTGCGGAAATTAAACGGGGTTCGATCGCGCTATGGAACACGGGCGAGTCGATTTTGTAAAATGTTTCGGCGCGAAATTGTCCCCCATGAAACGTCGAAAAAATATATATATTCCAGTAATTTTTAAAAATAATATCCAGTTTTTATTAAATACTCAACCATAGTCCTTTGGACATGACTTTTTTTTTTATACATGATGCTAGGAAGCTTAACACAAGGTTTGCTTTTCTCCTACTCGCTATAGAATGCCATTCACTTTACCGTTTGACCATTACAGTGCTAAACATAAATATAAATACAAGAGACCACAAATACAGCTAAAAATATTCACACAGGAACCGTCACAGTTTGTCGGATGCATCATGACTTCAGGTAGTGTTTTCAATACAATGAGTTTACTCTGGAAAGAAAGCGCTATATTTAGGCGGACGTAGACTTCGAGATGGATATATGGAGGGAAGTTATTTTCATAGGGCTAGGTGAGTCGGTGAACTGTGTTATGTGTTTTCTTTTTTCTTTTTCCCCAACCCAGCTTCTTTTCCACGAATCCACATCGCCACCAGCCGCCTTTCCTTCCTTCTTCTTTTTTTTTTTTAATTTTATTTTATTAGGAAAGTGAAACTGCCCGTAGTTCTTTTGGACCTGCATGGTCGAACCCAGCACTACCCGAAGGCAGCCCCCTAACACAGAACTCTTCTCCTTTGGCAAGCGGGATTCTGTCTAGGGAGGGCGAAGAAGGAATGGCAGGGGGAGTTTCTCTTACTCGTGTCTGTGTGTGTGTCTCTCTCTGTATGTGATTATGTGTGTGTGTTTGTGTGTATGTATGTACTTTAGGAAAAAAACCCGGGTCACTGGGCAAGGAGGCCAGGAACAAGGGAGACAGGAGCCTCTAAAAGGAGATTTGGGAGTCAGGGGTCTGGAACCTGAGCGCTGGAAACTGGAAGATGGAGGAAGGGGATTTCTATCTCCCCCACGCACCCACCCCTTTTTAATTTAACCCAATGTAGCGTTTGTGCCTGCAGTAATGAGAAGGGAAAGGAAGGCAGGAGGGAGTCGGGTGGCGGGAGGAAAAGAAGGGAACCTTCTCTGTGATATGCTCGTGGGTGAGACCGGAGGGGAGGGGAAGAAAATTTTCTTGGCCGAGCCGTCCCCGTTCATTCCTTCGCTTTTTCCTCCTGTGTCTCTTCTTCTCTTTTCTCTTCCTTTGCGCCCAAGCTCTCGGCGGCTTCTCCAGCCCCACCTCCCCCGGGGAGAGTGGAAGTCAGATTGCTCTCTTTTTTCCATTTCATCCTCCGGTTTTGGAACCAGATCTTGATCTGGCGTTCCGTGAGGCACAGCGCGTTGGCGATCTCAATCCGCCGCCGCCTCGTCAAGTAGCGGTTAAAATGGAACTCCTTCTCCAGTTCCAGCGTCTGGTAGCGCGAGTAGATCTGACGCCCCCTCCTCCGATCTGCTCCGTAGCCGACTCCTAGGGATTCGGAAACCAAACAAACTAAGAACGATTAGCTACGGCTTCGGCCAACAACAGGTCTTATTAAGTCCATAGAAAATAAATAAAACACAAGTAACATATTTTTATATATATATAAAAAACAACTGAAGTCATCTAACAACCCCACCCTCCAAGCCCCCCATCTTCATCGTATCCCCACCCATTTCCAATTTAATTCTGCTCCTTAGGCTGGCTATTCATTAAAATCTTTCAGCACACATGGAGGGGAGACCGAACAAGAAGAGGGGAAAGCCTCTAATTGAAAGCATGCTCCGTTCTTATTTGCAAAGATTCCGAATGTTTTGTTTTAATTATTTCGGCAATCTTAAAAAGAAAAAAAAATCTAATTAGATCTTCACTCCAATGCTGCTTTAATTACTAGGAATAGACGTTCCTTCCATAACGTTCTGAAGTCAAGCTACTTCATCAAACCCCATCTCTCAACCTATTATTGGACAAGACATTTTGCATCTCCCCCCTTCCCCCAAAATGCCCTTTCTCGCCTATCAGGGAAACTTCTTTTTTTAAAAAAAAAAAATGCCCCGGTTCTATTTCCTACACCTAATCCCCCCCCAAATCTCCACTATTGGGTGGGTGAGAGGGTGGGGATGGAATCAGAGCTGATTGCACTTTATTATGGATATTTTACACTCCCAAAGTCTTTTAATTAGAAAGAGCATAACAAGCCATATTTGCTTGCAACAACTTAACAAATAAAAGGCCTGTAGCGGCAACTGTGAGGAAGCTATATGATTGTTTTTATGGGGCCATAAAAAGTAGCTGAGCCTGTTCTGCTGGGGAGACGGCCATAAAGATGGTTCAGTTTATTTAATTTATCTCTGCAAGCTGTAAAACTTACCACTGTGGGAGTTCATGCGCTGCATCCACGGGTATATTTGAATGCTAGCTTTCTGTTCCTGGGACGTGCTCCTGTTTTGGTCACTTGTAAAATCCTGTGCAATAGAAGTTTGTGTATTGTGTCCCATAGAATTTTGCCTGCAGCTAGAGAGCATGTCCTTTTCTTGATAAAACGCATTCGATCCGTAATCATATGGTCCCCGACTGGAGCTAAACACAACATTATCTTGCGGTGAATAAAAAGGAGATGAATAGATCCTGTTTTGAGCGACCGCTGCTCCATAAGTTGAAAAATGCCTTACAGGGTCATAGGCAGTGGAATTGAGCGGCACGCTGGGCAGGACCTCTTGACCACTGGTGAGGTGGCAAGAGAGCGACGGGTTTGTGAAATAGGAATTCATATCTTCCCCCCTGTACCTGGCTTGTATGATTTCTTTAATATTTATTTCTGTCTCCAGTTTGTAGTCTGAACTAGATTGTTATAGGGACGGCTCCACTCCAGGACAGACAAAATGACAAAGTCAGCTGACCCGCGGTGAGCCAATAGAAAACTGGATGTCAAGACACGGAAAAAATGGCTTTTGCTTGTGTTGATTCCCCAGTTGAAACTAAGTATGCATTGAAAGTAAGTCTCGAAATTCTAAATATAAAGACGGTTTAGAAGAAGAGGGGGGAAAAGAGTAAGTATGATTGTGGGGGGGGGAGAGGGAAGGTGGGAGAGGACTGAAGAAGGAGGGGCAAAAAAGGATAAGGGGGGAAAAAAGGAAAGAAAATCATAGTGCAGAGAAAGCGTTGCCTTAAAAATATTAAGGAAAGGAAAGGAAAGGAAAGGAAAGGAAAGGAAAGGAAAGGAAAGGAAAGGAAAGGAAAGGAAAGGAACCATAGAGAACAGAAATCAGGATATTTATTCTTTTGAATAAATACCTTGCTTAATACCTCTAACAACCAAACAGCACAGAAATTATAGCCATAAATCTGAAGTATGCATAAAATATTAAACCATAAATTCTCTTTCCCGCCACTAATTTACTGTCAGTCAATAAACGTGGAATTAAATGCTAGTGTTTTCCAAAAAAACAATCTTTGAAAAGACAGGCAGGGAAAGAAGTGACAGTTGGATGGAGACCATATCTTCTTGGAGAGCATTCCTGGATTTTGGAATGGGAAGAACTTTGCAAGCTCCTTCTTTCATTCCTTCTGGCCCCAAAATTCCGAGCTGGCTTTATTAATCTTTTCATTTAACATAATTTAACCCAGTATTGCTTTGCTTCAACAAAAAAAAAAAAAAGGAAGAGGAAGAATTTGTCATTGTTAGGGTCCTGTTTACCTTTGTAGCACCCCCAGTCTTTCATTACCTTCCCTTTCTCTAGGGAGCGGTGTCGGTTGGAAGGAGCACCTCGTGTTTACATTTGCAAAAATAAAGGGCGGGGGAGGGGGCAGAATTTATGGCTTCAGATATCTGTGGCTGATTAGAAAACTTCCCCTTGAAATATTTAGTTAGATTAGAGAGTGGACTGTATTCTACTCCTCTGGTGGATTTGCCCCGACACACTAATTGAAATGAAGACAGCTAATCTCATTTTAATTTCAATCCAGGGCCATAAATTGCCCCTTAAATGTAAAATATACCTGCTGATGTGTAAACGAAGCAAGGCTCCGTCCTCCTGCTATTGGTTTGCTCTTTCAAAATTCAATTAGGGCTAGGAAACCTGGGCTTGATTTCCGTGGCTTTTGTTTAGCTGCATTAAAGGGAGAATCATAATAATATATGGAAGGGTCCATAAAAGGAAACCAGACCCACCTCCGATTGAATATCTTTATGTTTGCTTCCCCCCCCTCCCCCAGCAAGCCAGTACTTTGAACATCCCTTGTTGGGATGAAGTAACTCTCCTTGGTGGGCTGAGAAAGAAGCAAATCCCTCCTCCTGTGAGCACCCCTCGGCTCCAACAGGAACCCGGATGCCAACGGATGCCAAAAGCGTTTATGGTCTTTTTCCTCTGTTCAACAAAGCAAAGTAATCAGAGGCAGTAGTAAAGCCATAAACCGGACCACAACAGACCAAAAAAAAAAAGAAGAAGAAGAAGAAGGCAGAAGAAGTATTCATCGTGTCCAGCGTTTAGGCGTTTCTGAAGGGCTAGCAATTTTTTAAAAAATAATAATACACTTCTTATATAAAGCCGTGGAAAGCTTTAAAAAAAGGGGGGGGATTGGTTTAATGGGCAGGAAGCCTAAAGATGCCCAATACATTTTTTCCCCACTTTTCCCACCTTGCAATAGTGCCCCCCCCCAAACTTTACATTACAGACTAGGATGTATTCTTTAAAAAAAAAGGGGGGGTTGAGGGGAGGGAAGGCAGGAAGGAAGGAAGAAGGGCCAAGATGACCCTCTTCCTAGACCCACCCACCTCCTAGGAGGTGTGCATTGCAAAGCATTTTATATGGGCACGCATGGAGGAGGATGGGTAAACCCATAATCTGAAGGCATTTAGTGAAATTGATTTCAATCCAGGATTATTTGAAAAGCTCCGAGATGGCCTGTAAACTAAATCAGTGTTCTAGGCACCCAACCCCCTGAATTGACAGAAGTAACTCCCTTCCCACTTCCTCTTTAATAAGAGTTCTCCTGTGAAGACTCTTCAGTGAGTGAATTTATATTTATATTTAGAATGGTGGTCCTTTAAAAGAAAATGCTCTAGTATAAATCAGGAATCCATTAAAAGTCACAAAGCCTCCATAACTCTCCGTCCTCCCTTAATTTTTTTTTTCCTGGTAAGCAAGCACTACTTTTTTTAAAAAGGGGGGGGGGGGCTTTAAAAAAAAACGTTGTAATACTCCTAATCTTGGTTGAAAGAGCTGAGATTATGTGATGTAAAAAGGTTTATGGTTGGAGGAAGGGAGGGAGTGTATAGTGGGCTATATAGGTCCTAAAGAGCTGTTTTAGAAAGACCTGGGAAAGGATAAAGGGATTTGTGTTTATTACTTTTCTAAACAGAAGAGAAAACCTCAAAGTTTGGTTGTGTTATGAGGATGAGAAAACAGCTGGCACAAAGAAATTTGTCACAAAACCCTTCCTTAACATTTGGTTGGACGGCTTAGGAAATGCTAAAATGCTAAAATGCACACATGTACACAGTACAGAGCACGCGCAAACACACACACAAAAGTTCAAGATTCCAAAAACTCACATTTTGTCAGCCACGTATTTTAGTGCAAGTTAGAACTTTACTGGCCAGAAATTTTACAGGGGGGTCTTGGTCTCCGTGTGTCTCTGTCTGTAGGCGTCTAGAATGCATTTAAATCAAAGGCGGTAGCTCTTCCTTCCCACCTTTCCTGCAAACCTATATAGCAAAATGCGTAGGTCTCTTTCTATACAATTTAGTCTGCAAGCAATTGTACCATCTCATCAGCAGAAGCAAGAACAGATGTTTTATTAAAACTGCTACACAGCAGTGAAAATATGCCCAAGTCCTGGAATAGTTCTTGAATAGCAGTTGGGTCTCTCCCCTCCCCACCCCCTGGAGCTAAAGTGCCCAAAGAAAGCTGTAATAACATCTCTGACTCATAAGCTATTTTTCCCTTTCCCCCCCTCGCCCCTCCTCCCCCAGATTTTACCTCTATCTTGATGCTAAAGGAGAAAAATATGCCTCATTATGATTCTCTCCCAGCAATAATTGGCGAATTGATGAACTGATTTAGAGGAAAGCTTCAGAAATGCACACTCCACACATGCTTTCTAGCCAGAATAATGTCTGAAAGGAAACAAGTGTTACTCCATTTTCGTTCTTTCTTTTGCTCTTGCCAGGCTCTGATTTTGTGATGTGATCTTGAATGGAAATCCAGACACCGTTTGTTTACTTGACTGTTTGTGGAGCACGGAGGGGAGAGGGAGGGATGAATTTTGTGGGATGTCCATGACTGGACGATCAGCAGACGGGGAGGGGGGAAAGATCCACAAATTCTCACCTAGGCTGTGATCTGGATGTAGAAAATGGATTATTCCTAAATGCAGTTTTTTTGCCTGAGTTCGATTTAAATATGTATATATTAATGGTTGCCTTAAATCAAATGCTTTGGTTTAGGTTCATATATAGGATTAGGTTGAACTCTTGCGTAGAAAACGTGTATTATTATCCCTTGATAGATGGATTAGAATCCTTCACTCCTCCCCTAAACACACACCACGCGTACACTGATGAAGCACAGATACACACACACAGCGTGTGAGTCTTCACTCTTGTCTATTTATAGAGATCAGTGTGGCTAGTTATGTACCCACTAGATTCCTTTTATAGGTGGATGAGACAAATTAGTGTGGTAACCAGATCCAGCACTATATAACTAATGTGATTTCACCGGTGCTGTAAAACCCTGTCCACATCCACGCATGTTTTACACGTCATTTCATAAGTCACACGTAGCCATGTAGGGAGGGGAAAAAAACCAAAACCCTGGAACCTTAAAAGAAGATATTATGTATGCATCTCTTGGAAACAGGAAATCGATAGATAATCAGAATACCACATAAGCATATAGCATGAGGTCATCCTTTATGTGGAAGGAACATGGGTCTTAAGGTGCTCTGTGTGAAATGCTCATGGCAGCGTAAGCCGCCGTGGGGTGTGTTTTTTTTTCTTCTTTCATTCGAGCTGATCTCACCTTAGATATGTTATCTCGGCCATTTTGGACTTGACATTTATTACAGGCAAGTCTTCTTGCTTTGTAATTATTTATTTAGAGAGATTGCCCTGAAGTTTCACTGCCCCTACCAAATAAACGTCTTAATCAAATCTTGACTCTTCCCATAAATGACAGAATAATAACAACAACAATAATAATGACTCGATGGGTGGATAAAAAAGCCAAATTCAGGCTAAACCGGCAGACTAGGTAACCAACCATAATAAAAATACAAATAATAAACCAACATCTCTCTATCGCAGGTCCTTGGGAAGAACTAGGATTAGGTGGATAAAAATGCCAAATCCACCCTAAACATCTGACTGGCTGTGTCACAAACCATAATCACGTTTGGAAGCTAACCCAAAATACAAGACACATAAATATCACCAACCAATTATGCCTGAGGAAGACATTTGCCTTCTTCAAAGTGTTCACTGCATAACAGTTAATTCCATCTTGATTATTTAAAATACATAAGCTTAATATTTTTTGTTTAGTTTGATCCCCCCTTCTGATGTCTGCCCTTACCAAGCTGAAATGTTTATTCCAATGTCCCCGGAAAAACCAACCTGGAACAATAGCGTTAAATGCCATCAAAATAATTATTGTTGGTAAATATGTCTAGACCAGCGAGAATTGCAAAGCAGGGCTTTCCTTTCTCTTTCTGCCTTATTTTATTTTTCTTGCTCGCTCTCCCCAGACCACTTGCCTTTTCACTCCGTTTATCACAGAAATCCCATTTCTACAATTCACAATTCAATTGTGAAATTTGACAATTTGATTTGTCACAATTCAAATGTAAGGAAAAACAACAAAACATGCAGCTTTTTTTTTTTTAAAGCAGAATATAAACACCTTATATTTAAACCAAGTCCTGTTTTCATTTATGATTGTGTGGTCCTACAAAACTAATGAAAAGACACACTGTAACTTCTGTTCTTAGACAATCGGATCTGCAGCTCTTCCCACTATGGTACAGGATATGTTCACACATGCACCAGTATTAGGTGAATACTAGTATATGTATATATTTATACATACACAAACAAACACACATAGTCAGTCACATACTGGGAAGATAACCAAGAGATTGAAAAAGGAAGTTATTCCCAGAGGTGGCGGGTAGTGGAGGGTGGAAGCCCGGTAATGTGTGGGAGAGGCAAAATCTAAATATTGCTTGCATTATGGAGGATGGGAGATCTGGGGATAAGCAAAACTCTGCAATGATCAAAAGCAACACTAATTGGACATGAAGGAAAGTGAGAGAGACAGAATACATTGCTTTTAAACAGATTGGAAATAAATGCATCACCCTTTCTTTATCAGACTTCAAGTTCTTTTCTGTTTTTCTTAAGTATTTCTGCAGATTTCCTACACATCAACCAATGTTTAAACCCATTGATGGCATGGTTTTATCCACTGGTCTGTTTTTCTTTTCTTTTTTTCAGATCTTCTTGCTTCCCAAAATTTGAAATCTCTCAGGTTCACAAAGGAAGTTCGCCTTGAACCATATCAAATAACAACACAACTTCACTATCTCCAACATTTACCTCCCCATCCCACCACCATTAGCTGTCTTGAATTAAATCTTAATTAATTAAAGGCATGTCCTCTATAAGCAACTCAAACCAGAGATTTCTCTTGTTTACTGAAAGCATGTTACTGTCAATGTTTGTTATAATAATTTAATATCATTTTGAAATAATATGAAATATATGTGCTGATAGTGGGGAGGAAAGAGAAATGAACTTTTTAAAAAAGTTGAATTATTTAGTTGAGTTCTTCCACATAACATCCACGGCAGTCCCAATAACATTGCACATTTCACTAAGAGATATTCAGGTTAGAAAACTTTATGGCTGACTCTGATTACATTTTATTGCATGGAAATGTTCCCTCCAATGCTTCCCCTCTTTCATTTTGACATTTAAGGGAGCAGAGGCCATGACGTCACACTGTGCTGTCAAGGACAATAGTTACTGTCTTAAAATTATAAAGCATGATATTATAAAGTCACATAAAATATGGTTGTAAGCAACTACTTGTGCCTGTGAACAAATTAAACAAAGAAGAATAGGAGTTTAATACGTTCAGGAATAATAATTCAGCAATGAGAAACGGTTGCCATTATCTATGAGCTCTTATTTTATTTTATTGTTTGCACATGGCAGAAGGGGTGAGGGAAAATTAATCTCCAGATGCTACAAAAAAGGAAAGGAGGCAGGAAAAGGCAAGGAAGGAAGGAAGGAAGGAAGGAAGGAAGGAAGGAAGGAAGGAAGGAAGGAAGGAAGGAAGGAAGGGGAAAGGAAAGGAAAGGAAAGGAAAGGAAAGGAAAGAGGGAGGGAGGAAGAAAGAAGGGAGGGAGGGAGGAAAACAGAAAGAGGAAGAAAGAGGAAGAAAGAAAGAAAGAAAGAAAGAAAGAAAGAAAGAAAGAAAGAAAGAAAAGAGAATGAAGAAAGAAGAAAGAGGGAGGGAGGGAGGAAGGAAGGAAGGGCAAAAGCATCCAAACCACAGTATTAGTTACTGCAATGTGTGATTTTAAAAAAGATAATCATTTAAATAGAATTAAACTACTCTATTTAGGAAACTCTTTTTCTGCACTTTTAAGAAACTAGAGTGGTCGGTTTATGTTGCCTTTCAAGGGAACGCAGTCTGGTATTTTAGGACTGCTTGCATGCATTTTCTTTCTTTCTTTCTTTCTTTCTTTCTTTCTTTCTTTCTTTCTTTCTTTCTTTCTTTCTTTCTTTCTTTCTTTCTTTCTTTTTTTGGCCAGGAAAGTGATAGGGGCTGGGACCAAAAAAAAAAAAAGAGGGGGGGGGTGTCTCGCAGCTGACGGGCCTTATCTATTTTTATGAATGCCCTGATCGGGCAGTGACTTAAAACGCCGAGTTCTAGAGCGAGAGGAGAGTGTGTGCGGCCGCCCGGCGGAAAATTTCAACAGCAACCGAACGAGGAACTTGCAGTGAAAAGACATCCCATCTCAAACAGCCGACTTCCAAAAGCTTTGGCAATTCAAACTTTTCCTTAGTTGCAACTATTCATCCAAGTCCTTACTAGGAGGCTGCTGAAAATTTAGCAATAGGGTCTGCCCTCCCACACACACCCCCCCCCCGGCTTGAAAGGCTTTCACGAAATCGGCCTTTACGGCTGGCCGATCCTTCTTCCTTCCATCAAGCCATTCAAACTCTCTTCATTTATGAAAAAAAAGATTATTTGGGTTTCGTCCTCCCCCATCTCGGCTTATCTTCCGGGAAGAACGGGGATTAGGGGGCGAGAGTGGGGGAGACGGATCAGAAGAGAGAGAAGAGAGTCTGGACTGGAAAAATGTTGGCTTGTCAGCTTTCAGTCACTTGGTGGCAGTATACAAAACAAGTAAACAAAAATAGTGGTTATATAAAAGAACCAAGAAGGGGGAAAAAAGCAGAATTTACTACCAGGATTAAATAACACTCAGCATAAAATTGTCTCCATTTATCGGAATGCAGGTTTGTGCACACTCACGTTGTCTCTCTCATACACACAACCTCCATGATTATTTCAATTAAGGAATAATATCTTAAATAATGTCCAAATAACCCTGGTACCCTCTAGACTGACCCACTAGGGAACCCGGTGGCCAACACTGAATTATTCTTAAATGGAAAGTCGAGAAGCAACCTTTGAACTGGACTTACACAGTTGAAAACCAGGGAAACCTGCTTCCCTACGTTGAGGAAAGCAGCAGAAGCAGCCTCGGGTTTCTCATATTAGATTTGCATATATTAAAAGCAGAAACATTGACCAAGGGAATGGACTACTATATAACCTACCCAGTAAATTATGTTCCTGGAAAGCTGAGCAATGCAGCCAAGAGACAAGGAGGGGAGCAGAAATCTCATGGAGATCAACAGAAGGAATCCATTCTATCTACTACGAAGTAAATTGCACCCCATTGTTGTGGAGTAATGAGTTCCTCCCTTATATGCTTAAAAGATGGTGAATTTGCAGGAAGGAAGGGAGGGAGGAAGGAAGGAAGGAAGGAAGGAAGGAAGGAGAAAGAAAGAAAGAAAGAAAGAAAAGAAAGAAAGAAAGAAAGAAAGAAAGAAAGAAAGAAAGAAAGAAAGAAAGAAAGAAAGACAAACTAGAGGGAAAGTCAGTAACTTGTCCCATGGCTTCTCTATTTGGTATATTTTAATCTCTTTCTGTCCATTGAACCGCCAGATTTCCCCTCTCTGGGACAGAACCAGAACATCCGAGAAAGAAAAGGAATAATCCCATCTGAGGACATGAACTTCCACGCCAAGAAGATGTTGAGAAGATGTTTCCCAGCATCAGCAACGAACAGCCCTCCATTCCCAGTCAGCCAAATAATGAAGGAGAAAGAACTGTAAAATCCATATCAGATTGAAACTCTAATTTAACTCTGCAAGACTGTTCCAAGTAAGACACTGAAGGATGGAGGTGCTGCTAAAATGGCTAGACATATACAAGCTCTGATCTCTCCTATATACATGCGGAGGCATTTTGTCTCCCCTCTATATGTAATATGTAGCATATATCACACAGACGCATGAACATATCCATTGAACAATTATTAGAACCGTAGATGCCTTCTACATATACATACACACATACAGATATACGTAGAGCTCCGTATTTTCTTCTCCGATTAATCTTTTCTTTTACCCAGCTTTCGTTTTGGCCTCTGTTGTTACATTTTGCTTAAAGCGCCTTTGGGAATGACGTTTTGCTTGGGTTTCTTAATTTGATTCCTCTCTAAAACCTCTGGGCTCATCTTGAAACATTCAGCAAACATTTCAACCCTCATTGAGTTTAAAAAGGAAGAGAAAACAGCTTTCCGAAAGAAACTTGCATTGAAATGAATGGAGGTTAATAAATAATGCTGTATCGCAGAAGAAAAACAGCCCAAATATTTATACGCCCAGAGCCCAAAATACACAGAACCAATTCCAACACACATTTAAAAAAAGAAAGAAAGAATGCAAATCCCGATAGCCATAGACAAGGATACACACTGCCATAGGCACCCACACTAACACCCCGATGTTGTGTGGCACACACAAAGAAAAGCGAAAACTGTCTTCTTTTTTGCTTTTTCTCCTGGCTCTTCCCTTGATGCGCTTTAGAAGAAAAAAAAGAGAGAGAGAGAGGCCTTATAATTTTGGATATAACCAAGCCTGCTTTTCAGCCTTGCACGTCTTTCTTCTGATTGTTGTTATTTTAGAGGCCCTGGATTTAATGACATTATCTGAGTCCCAAAACCCTAACTGCTCATGTGCAGAGCTCTAGGCTCCCATGCGCTCTCTCTCTCTCACTCTCTATCTATGGAATGGAATGTAAATCGGTATATGACACCCACTTCAAAGTGGATTATGACTCTTGTTATTGCAATTGTCATTTTACAAAGCTTTGCGGTTTATCCTCTCTCTCTCTCTCTCTCTCTCTCTCTCTTTCTCTCAGCCAGCATTCCAACTCCCAATCAGACCTTTTCTTCCCTTTCTCTGTTTCTGAGCTGCAAAAGAGCTACACACCATAATTTGAAAATTATTGTTACGGTTATTGGCTATAGGCTGTAGCAATATTTTCCCCGGGGTTTGCTTTTCCAATTGTTACAAAATATTTGAGGTTTTTACTTGTGATGGTCTAACCGTGAAGACTTTTGCATTATTTTAATGACAGTTGTTGTTGTTGTTGTTGTTGTTGTTGTTGTTGTTGTTAGCCTGAACCAAGCCACTTAGAACAGAGGCTTCACACTGAGGATTTTGAACCATAATCTACTACTCTAGTCCCGTGTGGATTGGTAGATTAACTTTATTACCCTGACAAACCCGTGATACTGTTTGTGGCGATTAAAAGCCATTGAAAATTAGGTCAGGAGTCAACTTTCCTACTATTGGGTTTGGCGATATCCAATTTCTGGCATTGCCAGAACTCTATTCATCCTCTTCACTGACCCTACATGTCAATAAGGGTTGAGCTTCCTTTCACTCCATCCCTTGTCTATCTCAATGATATGGATAAAAGAAGCCATTCATTTCCTTCCCTTAACGTCTGTAGAATGCTGGAGAAATAAATCAGCTGCTTTTTAAAAAAAATATATATATATAAATCATCCCTTTTTATATCTACAAAAATCTCCTAAATTTATGAACAACGGCGATAGGTCAATCTAAAGAACGAATCGATACATTAAAACGTGTTTTTGTACTTTTGCACAGCCTGTGGCAGAGAGGAAGGTCTGTCGGTCCCAGAAAAAAGACACAACAAACGACAGGGGCGTAAGGAAGAAATATGAAAGAGGGGCATTGATCCCAACCAGTGGACCTCCACGTGAGAAAACAGTGTTCCTGGGAAACAGGAAGAGAAGGGAAGCGGCAGGGTAGACAACTCAACGGTCCTTTACGCCTTGTACGCCGATCGTTTAAAAGAGCTTTGATTCCAACCCCTTTAATACAACGCCCGGAGCACTAACCCCGGATTTTCTCACGCGCCTGGAGAGAAAGGGCGGCTCGCAGACGTTAACCCTGGCAAGGAAAGCCCCCCGATTTATTTTATTTTATTATTTTATTTTATGTTATGTTATTTTTTTCAACATTCCCCCAACGAAGCGCGCTCACCAAACGACCAAGGCACACTCCGCCTGGCTCAAGCTTTGGCAAGAACGAAGGGGGCCTCTTCCGCTCCAAGCAGGCTCCCTTACTCTAGAGGAGACGCGCTGCCCGCACCGCCGAGCCAAGGGGGGATTCCCTGGCAGCCTCTCGCCACGCCACGCCCCAGCCAGAAAAACCGAGGCTTCTCTGCCTCTGGGGAGCCGGGGCTCAGGGCCACCACCTCTCTTGCACAGACGGACATTCCTCCTCCTCCTCCTCCCCTCTCCTCCTCCCTGCTCCTCCTCCTCCTCCTCCAAGAGGCCCCTCGACTCACCGTTGCTGGCTTTTCCTCCTTGGGACCTAGAAGCGGATATGGGTGACGATGGTCGTGGCCGTGGTGGGGATCCGCTGGCTTCGATTGTTGTTTTCTCTACGGATAAGATGGCTGGCAAACACCGGACGCCTTGGGATCCGATTAGTTCTTAATGCCAACCCACGGGGTGGGGGAGGGGGAGGAAGAGGCACTTGGCGTTTGCCAACTTGATCGACTTCTGTGCCGGGCGCGGCGCGATCCAGTCGGAGCCCCTTGTCTCCTGGGGAACCCCCCCCCACCCCCCGCGCGCGCAAAGCCTCGCGCAGGCTGCTCGGAGGCAGCATCCTCGGGGTGGAGGGGTGGAGTGGGGGGAGTACGACGACGACAGGCAGGCCTTTATAAACCCGGGTTGCAGAACAGGCTAAATATTTCATTAAAGAGTCAGACTGGAGGCCCTAAAGATCCCCCCCCCAGACGAACAGGAGGGTGCCATTCCCCCAAGGCCTGCATTTCCACCTATTGTATTCATAAGGACAAGGGGGAGCTCTTGGTAATAAAACTCTAGGAAGGGGACCTTAGTCATTGTTTCCCCTCCCCCACCCTTTTCTATCTTAGGTCGTCGCCGTTATCTTATCCTGTGATTCGGCTCTCTCTGTTACATATAGATATAGATATATATATGGGCCGTTTGGACCACATCACATCATGTCAAATCAAATCAAATCAAATGTTTTATTAGTGTCATAGATCAGCATAAGGAGGATGGGGTACAGTCAATTAAAAAGCACAGAAGTTACATCGGAGTCTTACAAATATTTTAAAAAAAACACCATAACATATAAATATATATATGTATATATATATTAAAATAGAGCATCTATCTCTTTGTGCCTGTGTGTGTGTGTGTGTGTATTTTAAAAGAATCTGAAAGGAGGGGTAGCAGCATTAAAGGGGTGTAGGGGGGAACATAGCCAGCCAAGCAAAGGGAAAATGGGGGTGATCATATTTTTCAACAGCTTTAGTCCAGACAGTGCAGGGTTTTTGATAGAGAAATATATTGAAAAAGTGTAAAAAAAAACAAAAAAAACAACCAACAACCAAACACCTCACAATTCTTTGCTGAAGTGCCAAATCAGAATTAGAAAGCCAAGAAAGATTCCTAAAGTGAGCTGCTTTCAAAGGATGGCAAACAATCCAGACATGACAACTCGGAACAATATTGGGAGCAATCAAAACAGATTATTATCTTATTATCACAGATACATTTCATAAACCATAAACCAAGTAAGCAAATCATCATAGCAGGCGATTTATTAAAGCCCAAGGAAGCACAATGTACATTGTTACACCCAACAGCATTTTTCACACAAAGAGGGCGATGGGCGGGGGGAGAGGGACGAGGGAGGTGGGGGGGGAGCGAGTCGAAGGTAGGCAGGTGAAGTGAGGCGGACCCAGTAAGAGAGGCGCACTCTCAAAATGTGGGAGGACCAACTTCTAAAAATAAATCCTTTCAAAAAAAAAAAAAAAAAACCAACGCTTCGACCAAAGCCACCATAAACCAGATGTCGGTAAGGTGAACCGGGGAGGGGGGGCGAGGGGGTAGGAGGAGAAACCAACAGCAAGCGGAAGGAGAAGCTCCCGGTGCCAAACAAATAGAAGCCACCCGTAATTGCTAATTAAATATGGCATTCGTGTTTGCCTCCTCGTTGTACGCCGGAGGGGGGGGGCTTTGGGGGTCTTTACGGTTGGCAGGACTAAGGAGGTGCACTGCGCATGTGCCTAAAAGCACCCCCCCCCCCCGCCTTCAGTCGCCCTTATTGAAAGTTGCTCCTGGGTAGCCCTCCCTCCCTCCGGCATTTTTGAAGGAAAAAAAGGAAAAAAAACACCCAACATTCATTCTTTCTTTCTTTCTTTCTTTCTTTCTTTCTTTCTTTCTTTCTTTCTTTCTTTCTTTCTTTCTTTCTTTCTTTCTTTCTTTTCTTTTCTTTTCTTTTCTTTTCTTTTCTTTTTTTTTTTTTACCATTCATTGGCTTCGGTGCCCGTCCGGAGCTTAAGCTCTATCAGGGCTTCTCCTTGACTTTAACCAATGGGCTGCACTGTCACAGACCTTTCCTCGCCTCCGCCTCCCGCCCAGCCGCCCCCGCCCGGCGCGCTTCCTTCCTTCCTTCCATCCTCCACACACTCCCTCCCTCCCTCCCTCCCTCCCCAAGTAAACACTGAAGCCAAGCGCGCAAGGAAGGCCGACTGCAACCGGCTTCCTCCGTCTCCAGCAAACCAGACCGCAGTGACATCACCACCCGCAACCCCGCTTTCCCCCCGCCCCCGAATTAACCACATTTGCGCCGCCGACCTTGCCCGATCATATTCTGTCATAACCAGGCAACACCCCTTCTTTTCGTCTATTTCGCGAAAACGAGGCATCGTTATCTTTACCACCCATCTCCATGGATCATTAGTTACACATTTTTTTAGCCAATAAGGGAACACTTACCAGATTCTCCCTTTCTTTCTTTTTTTCTCTCTCTCATTCTCTCTCTCTTTCCCCCTCACTCTCTCTTTTTCTTTTCTGCCTCTTTTGCCTGTCTCGGCTGAGGCTGAATTCAGCTCCGCAGAAATATGTATATATTATATATATATTTAAAAAAAAAAAAAAAAAAGAGGGGAGGAAAAAAAAAAGAGGCAACAACCAAAACGAAGAAAAAAGAAAAAGCAAGAAAGCAAAACCCACGCGTAAAAATAATCCTTTTCTTTTTGAACATGGCATGGGGGGAACAGAAGACGGCGGGGTTGGCATCTTTCTCCTCTCCCTCCCCCCCT